AATTTTGAGGGGAAATTCAGGCCTGAAATAGGAATAGATACTAGGTGTGTTATCCAAAGGTAGATGATTTAATTCATTTGTAAATGGCTAAGGAAGTATCCAGAAACCATTATGAGCAGATTTCAGGTGCCATGTGTGCAGGTGGAACCAGAGAGCCTCTCTATTCTGTTATCTTGACACCAGTAGTTTTCATTTTGATTTATTCAGTTACTTTTTAACCAATGATGCCAAGAGAAACACTTCAGAATAAGATTTTCAAAACTAATTTCACCTTAAGGCTTCTTTTGAACCTTTCACTTCTGCTATGCCCTGTTGTATCCTCATCAACATCTAGAACAGCCCTTTACAGACAGTAGTTGATTAATAGTTTTTAAATTAAGTTACATATTTTAATAAAAATTTAAATATGATTTCTAATTAAACTGAATTACATAATGTTGCTACATCTCTCTTACCTACAATCAACAGGACAGCCTACTTGCCAGACTGAAGTCTGTGGCCAAGGAAAGATGTTCTCCCTGTGTGAAACTAGCTGGCCCAAACAGGACAGAATTCACAACTTGGGCTTTGTTGTCACTACCTTCCAACTAAATGAGCCAACTGGCCTCAACACGCCTTTCCATAAATGTGTAAACATTTTTCACAATGATATGCACCTGTGTTTCTATGCCCTAACTAATTTAGAAGGCCCAGCATTAGGTCTTAGAGAAAATACAGGCAGAAGAATCCCTAAGGGAAGAGATGAAACAGAAAAATCAAAAGAGATTCAATAAAGCCAACCATTCATTACCTAATATTTGCAAGACTTTGTGCTAGGTACTGGGAATACAAAAACAACAAATAAAGCAAACAACAACAAAGCAAAGAGTCTCTGCTTTCAAGAAGCTTACATTTTACTGATAATCATAACTGGCAGGGAGTTAACAATGTACAAATAAATGGAAAATATGGAAAATCAAAACAAGAAATCTTTCAAGGGGCAACACTACACTGGTAACTGGGGGAGTAACTTGGGAGGCATCAATCCTCAAAGGCCTCAAGTGAGATAGGCAGATATCTACTCCAAGCATATGAAGACTTCCTTGGGAAAGGAATGTGTGGAAAAGAACAGTTTGTTCCGACAGCCACAAAGACAGCTGAAGCAGTTGCTATGGAGTGCATACAGCTTGGTCAAACATCAAAGATGCACAAGGCTCAGTGTCCTGCCTTTTGACACTGATGGTGCTGGAAGAGAGAGTGAGGCTGATCCATCTTCGTGCAACTGTACCTCACTTCAATCCAATTTATGCATGAGTCAAGACATCACCCCATGATATCATTGGTCGTCTTTGAAAATAAAAGATGAATAATAACTAGGGCAGTACTGAAAGGCCTCTTCTAGTGCAGCACCTGAACACAGCCTCAAAGGAAACCAGGGATTTTAAGAATCTAAAAGAGGAGGAGAAGGAGAGTATTTCAAGCACAGGGTACAACAGCCTGTTAAAGGTCCCTGGGACAGAAGATGGAATTGTCACTGTTGAATAACAATAAGGCAACATACACCAAAAGTCTGATGATATATTCAGTGTTTAACATCATGGTCCCCCATCTCTGTAAAACGGGTGGAAGGTGTCTTAATGTTGGCCTTAATTCCATGATGTCATCTGCCCTGTTCTTTTCTTTGTTTTTTACTCTCTAAAACCTACATAAAGGGAACTGTCCTTTTGTTCGGGGTCTTTGGCACAAAGGAAGGCAATTTACTGCCCTATTTATTGAGAAGTAGCATGTCCCTGCTTATAAATATTATGCTGCTCAGAGACCTGCCTCAGTTTACTCTTTTGTTAAATTTCAATTCCAACATGATGTTTTAACCAACTATAGACAGTTCTCGGTTTAATGTAATTTGCATCTTTTAATTTTGTTTGCTGGTGCTTGTTCTTTCCATTTACATTGTTGTAGCCACTGGGTAAATTATTTTGCTGGTTTTGCTTACTTCACTTTGCATCACTTTAAGTCTTCTCCATGATTCTCCATATTCATCATGTTCATCATTTCTTATAGCACAGTAATTTTCCATTACATTCATGTACAACAATTTGTTTAGACATTTACATTTACTAGATATCTGCTGAAGAACTTTATCCTTGAGAAGTTTCCATCTCTTTTGGCATTACTTCCCCTGCCAGCATTTCCCTAAACAAAATTTAGGTTACATGTCAGATTATTTATGCTTGGCTTTCCTTTCCCCCATCACTAATTTTAACATGGAATGGTCACACCCCACTAAGGTTCCAATCATTTCTATTCCAGTAACTATTTACTATATATTGGTTAGAATCAGGTCCAATCTAAAAGTTATATTGCTGTTACAATATATAATGTTCACTTGGTTCTGTTCATTTCTCTGTTCATTATTTTGTGCAAGTTTTTCCATGTTTTTCTAAGATTACTGACTTCATCTTTTCTTATAGCACAGTAGTATTCCATTTCAATCATATATCACAACATGTTCAGCTATTCCCCAACTGACAGTAGTTCTTCCTGTGCTACTTCCTCCATCTTTTAAAGGATGAAATTATCATGAAGGCGAAACAAGAATGTATTAGCTGTTTTACTTTTGATAAATATAGACAGAGAGAGATTTCTAAAAGGTAATGATTTAAGTCCCACATCAGCATTATATCATATCTCAAAGTCTTATATTCTATTGTCAAACTCCTAATCTAATTCTTCCTCCTTTCCAGTTGGTCTGTAGTTTACTTCACTGAATACATCCCTTTTGTTTGACTACTATTGTTTATCCACATATTTTCCACCATGATGTCAACCTCAGGTTTCTATATTTCCTGCAACAATTCTGCATCCTCTCCAAGATTGCTAAGTCCCATCACACCAAGTTTCAATGACATCTAAAAGTTGAGATCTTCATTAAGATCTCTAGTTCAACTTGGTTATTATCCATATTTGGATTCATTTGTGTAAATGTATCTGAGGCCATGAGTTTTTTTACTTGTTTCTTCCTTTTGTGTCCTGTTAATTACCGGTCATTTCTTTTAAATTCTTCCTATACTATTGCTGATATTGTATGTGTGTGTTAAATACTACTCGATCAGATTCTCAAAATTCCATCAACTATTTAGCTTTTTCTTTTTTAACTCTCCCTGGACTCTATAACATCAAAAGCTCTTATTTTGCTATATTTTAAGCAGTGATCCAAAAATCCAGATCCTGAGAAGATTAAGATTGATCCTGTATCATTTTCTTGTTGAGCCTAGTCACAGGAATTGATTTTGTCCTATAACTGCTTAAGTTATGGTTCTTTTGTCTCTGAATTTAGTTCAGAATTCAGCTGACCTGTAAAGGGTTAATTTCAAAAATAAAGCTCTTTGGCTAATCACTGATCTATTCTGGCCTTATGGAATTTTGCTAACCTTAGGGAATTCGTGTCAAGACAAAGGGAGTTGATATCTTTACTCCACCAAACAATTCTACAAGGATGCAGTCCAAAAGTCTGGGCTGCTATCTTGCTCTTGGACTCAAACAATGAGCACTTCCTAGTCTCATGAACCAAAAAGGAGAGTCCTTGCTAGTCCCCATTACAAAATTTCCAACCAATCATGTTGTTCCCTGCACCTCAGTTCTTATAACCAATCATGTTGGCCTTAATTCCATGATGTCATCTGCCCTGTTCTTTTCTTTGTGCTTTGCTCTCCAAAACCTACATAAAAGGAACCGTCCTTTTGTTCGGGGTCTTTGGCACAAAGGAAGGTGATCTACTGCCCTATTTATTGACAAGTGGTATGTCCCTTCATTATAAATATTATGCTGCACAGAGATCTGCTTCAGTTTACTCTTTTGTTACATTTCAATTCCGACATGATGTTTTAACCAACTATTCACTTCACTCAAAAGCCAGCTCAAAATTTGAACATTCTGATTCATGTAATTTTAGTCTACAAATTGAATTTGAATTTTTTAAATTGACAACCCACATAATTAAAATTCAACCTACATCTAGACAAATGCTTAATTTATGCTAAATTAAAAAAAATTATTAAATCTGAAAACAAAATGTTCACATCAGAGCATCCTAATATCCACACTCCAACACTCCTATATACAGTCATACTATTTTGCCAACATATATGGAGATTCACTCTTCATTGAACTGCTTTATCTTCTGGAAGATGGCAACATTTCTCCAATACCAAATATGGTAGAAATGGAATTGCGCTTAACAGTAAGTCAGCTTACAACTGGAATATAAATGAATGTGTGCATGTCAAGGGTTAGACCACAAATATGCTAGCAACGAGTTGTATTTAAAAGCACTTCCTATCCTTTTTACAGCCTGTAATTCTTTCAACTAAAAATACCACACCATGCAAAGACTAAGGAAACCAGAGAGTACATACAGCAAATCATTAAGGGATGAACTATTTATCCCCTAAAAGATATATGAGTGCATAACTCAGAAGTAATTAAGTCAAAGTAAATTATACTGGGCTTTCCTCAGCAGCAGTATAAAAATGTCACATCTTCAAATAGCAAAATATGTATTTCATTTACATGTGTTCCTTTTAAATTCATTTTAACTGCATTAATAACATCTCAAACCTCCATTTGGAGTTCTAATTTAGGGAATCATAGAAATCTCGAATTGGAACAGACCTTAGAGGTCATCTGGTCCAATATCCAACCTGGTACAAAAATTCATGGAGAGCTAGGGCATAATCTTTAAAAGTATCAATGCATGAAAACACTTGTGTTTTATGAGGGTAAGGCAGGAAAAGAAAACATTAACTTTTTTATTACAGGTAGCTGATGAATAGAACAGAGTAAAGGAATAAGAATGATCAGACCAGTTCAGTTCTTCACAATGCTCAAGATTTCTCTATTGATGATGTTTTTGAGAGAGCTGATTTCCTCATAGCAGACAAAGGAGGGTAGTGGGGTACATAAGAAAAGACCAGAATACTGAATGACATATGAAATTCTGAATACTCTAAAAGTCCACATACCTCTCCCGCTCTCCTTCAGTGACATGATACAATTGGTTAGCACCTCCATCAGCACAGGCTTTTAGAAGAGCTTAAAATAAAGAAAACATATTAATTCAACAGTGGATCACTGAAAATAACATGCATTAAAATACATATACAAACACATATTCCCCAACTACCTTGGATAAAACTTCATCCAGCCACATGATCAAAGAAGAGCAATCACCATTTGCCGTTCTCTCTAGCTGATGCCCTAGGTTTTTGTTGTGGTTTGTTTTTTTTTTTCCCTCTTTATCAGAGGGTTGAAACTGATGATCTCGAAATTCCCTTCCTTTTCAAAAGATCATATCATATAGCGTTACCATTCAAATATGGTGGCAAAAAATATAAGAGAAAGGATCAAAAAGTGCTATTCTCTGAAACGAACCTAAAAATAATTCTTGACAATAGCAGACGGTAGAAGTCATCTCAGAAAATAATCAGCCTTGACAGGCAATTTGTAAATGTAGGCAATAAAATTTTGGTATGTCTCAAATCTCAAAGTGTCTGAGATGTCCTACCTAAAATCCTTTCTGAAAACTATGACTTAAAAGTGTAGACTATAAGGGCAGCTAGGTCGCACAGAGAATAAAGCACTGGCCCTGAAGTCTGGAGGACCTGAGTTCAAATACGGCTTCAGACCAAATACTTGACACTTACTAGTTGTGTGACCCTGGGCAAGTCACTTAACCCCAGTTGCCTAAAAATGAAAACAAAACAAAAAAAATGTAGACTATAAAATCAGGTTATATAGTCAAAACTCACTTATTTGGTATTTCCTCCACACTACATAGAATCTCCCTGATAAATGTACTGATACGGGTTGCTCATGCCTTGAATGTACTCTCTCATTATCTCTGCCTCTAAAAAGTCCTTGATGCCTTCCAGGGTCAGTTCAAGGGCCACCTCCTACATACCATCTATCTTGATCCCTCCTGGGATCACCACCTGCATCCCCCCCTCAAGTAGCTGACTTGCCTATCTGTATAAGTATTTTTCATTCTTCCCCTGTACATGTATAATGAGGTAAACTCCTTCAGGGCAGCCTTTACTTCATTTTCATCTCTGTAACCTCAGGGCCAGGCACATTAAAAAAAAAAACAGTATTGAATGAAAGAATGAAATGAATGGATGGTGAATGTACTCCTAAGGAAGCAATGCTGTTATTATGAAAGTTAAAGTTATTACGGCAGACAAAGACTGAAAAAAGAAATATTAGAAAGAGATGGATTTCCATGTTTATTTAATACTATCCATAACAGTATACCACCATACCTGCAGAGAGTATTTCTACCACAAGATACATGGACTCTATTATGACACAAGGAGAATTCAGACTCTAATCACCATCTGTGTAAAATACCTTACCTCACCATTCCTTAGAGTTAATAAAAATAATATTTACAGAGAATTGTAATGTTTACAAAATAAGTTAGAGCTATTTTTCATTTTGTCCTCACAACAAACAGATGAGGAAGCCAGAAGTGAAAAGGGTTAAGAGTGACTTGCCCAGGGTAACAAAGCTAGTGAGTTTCTAAGGGCAAATGTGAACTCAAACATTCTATCCCACTGCGCCACCTAACTCTCTCTATTCAGCTATTTTAAATAATGTGCTGATAACTAATTCAATTTCTCAAGTACCTGGATATGGTGAGAAGAAGTGGGGATAGGGATGGAAGGTAGAGGCGGGAGAAGCCAGGGAGAGCCCTGGAAAATAGATGTTTATTCCATTCACTGAATCTATGCATCAAAGTAAATTAACAAAGCAGCATCCTAAACTATGGAGTCTGGTTATTTTTCAGTCTGGCTAGTCTGTATCAGTATTTCAGAAGATGATAATCCCCTGGTGAAAGACAATTTAAAAAAATCAAGTTCCTGAACCTGTATCCGTGAAGACAAAATTTTGGGCTGTGGTGACTCCCCCCTCCCCCCGCCCTGCCCCGCAAGCACAGGTATCCAATTAGCCTCAGTCTAAAATACCCAAAGAGCTGACCACCCTCTAGCAATCTAATTACACGACTTATAATTTAGTTGAGCTAAGAAACTATTAGGGGACAATACAAAATAGCATACAATTAATTACATGTTAAACTGTGTATTACAGATTACAAGTGTTACCAGATTATCAGGCAGGGAAAGCAACTGGTAGTAGATATAGAAGGTAGGGCCTGAATTAGGCCTTGATGGCCTTGGACGGAAAGATAGAAGAAAGGATGAGGGCATTACAGGAGAAGGGAACGACATGAACCATGCAAGGCATGGGTGTATTCTTGAAGCAGGGGATATAACTACTTTGACTAGAGCAAAGAATACATATTGGGAAGGAAATAAGGTTAAATATGAGGCTAAGCAGGAGAACCATGTACAAAGAGAGTTTAAGGAAACTTTCCTACTGAAACAAGAGATTCTGGGCCTCATAAATCAAAACCATCCGTGAGGATGAGGATTCATTTGACCTCTCATATCCTCTTCTAAGTAACCTGGTATTTATCACTGGGAGAAAAAGGCAGAGGATCACCCTGGCTATGGAATCATCAAGTGCATAGACAGGGATTAGACCTATGATTTCATGTACAACACTTCATGACCCCACTTGGGGTTTTCTTGGCAAAAATGCTGGAGGGGAAATTTACCATTTCCATCTCTAGCTCATTTTATAGATGAGGCAACTGAGGGAAACAGGGTTAAGTGATTTTCCCAGGGTAAGGAAGATAATTAGTGTCTTAGACCAGATTTGAACTCCCAAGCCAGGCACTCCACAGGGCCCACCCAGCTGCTGAAACAGTAAGTGATATAGTTAATACCCACAAACTGTATGTGTCAGAGGTGGAGCAGGTCACTCTCTACCTACTATACTAAGAAATGTCTCCTCTGTAATAATTAAAATGGCTTAATGCTGCTACAACACAAACATGGTCAAGGAGTCAGTGTAACTGCATTTGAATCCAGGTTCTGCCACTTGTTAGCAGTGCAACCTTGGCCAAGTCACTTAACTTTAGTGAACCTCAGTGTCCACATGTATAAAATTGTAATGCAGAACATTATCTTACCATTTTAGGTAGTAGGGCCCTTTAAGGCATGGAAAGCAGAAATTACTGCTTAATCTTGCCCCAGACCTCTTTCCTCCTAAATCTAAACAATAGTGAAATGTACTCTTGCATACCTCAGCACAGCCCATACCCCCAACGCAAATGGATAAGAAAGCTTGCAATATAATTGCTTTAGATAATTATGTTTATACCAGAGACCAGGACACCAGGTCTGGTTTGTGTGATCTCTGACCTGTAATGATGGAGTGCTCAGGTGCTCCTGCTTGTACTTGTGCCCCAATTTCTCCCTAGTCTCAGAAACACTGTCTCTGACAACCACTCCCCAGCCCAAGGACACTGTGCCTAGCAGTTATTCATGCATGAGCCTCAGCATGACCTTTATCTCTCTCCCTGGTACAGCTACACAAAGCTGGGCTGCTCAGGCCCCAGCCCTCAGATCACATCTCTGGAAGCCTCACAATTCCTTAGTAAGTTCCTGTCTTGTGAGAAAGCTTTCCCTTGTTGCAGAGCATTCTCTCATCAAGACAGAGGGAGAGGGGTGTCCTTGGCCAGCCTAAGGACTCTTCCTCCTGCCTGACTCCAAAGATCCGTACCTCTGTCATCTCCCTCCCTGTCTGGTATACTCCCTGCACTTTCCCATCTATAGCCCCCAAAGACACCTGCACCTTTGGATTACCTCATCAGTGTTCCTGGCATTTCTTTCCCATGCTCTTTTCCATATAAACCCTAGCTCGACCCCTGATCGGGGCTGCTTGATTTGGACGTGCACACCCCTTGCAGCCCACGCTAATAAATCCACATTTTAAATTACGTCTGGGTTTCACTCGCTGATTTCTCGGTACAACAAAATGAGAGGGATTAGATTCCACAGATGGGGTTAGATTTAGAAGTCTGAGGGGCTCAGATTTCATTCATTTCTTGGACACAAAATATGACTTCTTAGGTACCTTACAGCTCTAAACCAATGATTCTTATTCACTTCCTATTTTATTCTCCTCAGGAATTTGGTTCAGATCTTTTCCTCTCTTCTCACGCAACATCCAACACTGACAAGAGACAAACTTAGAATTTTACTTCACTGGGATTAAGCACATCCATGAGTTCCTGCAACTCCCTTCTACTTTCCAACCTTTCTCAGGATCGTCCATTATTCTCTCTTCTTTCTTTTGCATAACTTAGTAGATATCTATTGCTTGATAAAATCAATTTCTACTTCTCATCTCTCCCTGCTTCATTCTGGACCTGGTTCTGGAAATCATCCACTTTCTTTCTCATATCTCTAATCAATTTCCACTGGTTTCTGCATATGTACCAATAAAAACACCTATCACACGTCTCAAAAAGAACTGGTCCTTTTAGCCCATCCAGCTGCCATCTTCCTTACCTGATTCTTTTCACTCACAAACTTCTTGAAAAAGTTATACAACTCACACTTTTTTTTGTAGCAAAGGATTGGAAACAAAGTAGTTGCTCATCAGTTGGGGCATGACCAAACAACTTGCGGCGTATGAATGAAATGGGATGTTATTGAGCAATAAAAAATGATGAGTGATATTCAGAGAAAGCTTGGGAAATTTGTATGAAATGATTCAGCTGAAATAAACAGAAAGAAGACAATTTATATAAAGAATAAAGCAAAAGAAATGAAAGCAACTTTGAGAGACTGAAGAACTCTGTTGACCAATAATGACTTCACAAGATTCATATTCTGTGGGGGAAAAAATAAGAACCACAATTATTTTGCTCCATCTTGACTGATGAATAATGGTGAAATGCCCCAACCCCTGACAACCTAATATTAGAAAGTCTCCAAAGGCTTTGTAAGGACATAGTAAAGTGGACAGTCTCATCCACTGCTGCGAAAACGATTTTGCTGTTCTAGGATAAGAGACTCTGTAGCTTTGTCTAAAAGGTCTATTTTCACAATTCTGAAAGAACTTAGGCTTTTCCCCTTGTCTCATGCCTTTCAACAAGGGACGTTTTCTCACTCTGATAATAA